TATTAAAAATGTCTTCCATTTATCCATTTACTATGAAGTTTCCTTTTTTATTATTTTATATGTTACTATTAAAAATGTCTTCTATTTATCCATTTACTTTGAAGTTTCCTTTTTTATTATTTTATATGTTACTATTAAAAATGTCTTCCATTCATCCATTTACTTTGAAGTTTCTTTAATCTAGAATTGTGATTTCGATGTTTCATATATTACTATTATAATATATGTTACTATAGGTTTTCTAATTTTGCATTTTCTTTACTTTTTTAATAAAATTCTGATTATTCTATGTCTTTTTATTTTATATTCTTTTATTTACAAACAAAATAAAGAAAGGGACAATCAAACCTATTTCTCGATTCAATCGAAGCTAAAAGGAGTAATCAAGGTTGATATAAGGTCACAAATAATGATAGATATGTAAAAAACAAAACTTCCTTATTCCATTTTAATCCAAAATGGAATGAACTTAGAATCATGGAATTGATTCGCTCATCAGATTATATATAAATTATAAGTTCATAACCTTAGCCCATTCCCATTTTTGGTGGAACAGATCCACTAATTCTTTCATTTCAGTTAGTAATATAAGAGGTCAATCAATTGTAGAAGCTAAAAAAGAGTATCCTGAGCCATTTTAATAATGGGGTTCATTGATATTCCTAGTATAGTAGATGCTATCACACATAAAATCATACTCACTTCAATGAAATTATTTGATGTTACAGGAGATCTTCTATAATTTCGCACGTGAGGAGTTATTTCTTGGTTTCGTCCAGTCATTAATAACTTAATTATTTTTAGATAATAGTAGATCGAAACAATGTTTGTAAGAAGTCCTATTGAAACCAAGAAATATCGGCCTGCTTGCCATCCACACCAGAATAAAGAAAGTTTTCCGAAAAAACCAGCTAGTGGAGGAAGACCTGCTAAGGATAAGAGACATAGGGCTAAAGAGAGAGCCAAAAAAGGATCTTTCGTGTATAATCCTGCATAATCTCGAATGTTATCAGTTCCGGTACATAGACTAAATAACACAATGCAAGCAAAAGTTCCTAGATTCATGGAGATATAGAACAACATATAAGTTATCATGCTTGCATATCCACCATTTGAGTCTCCAACAATTATTCCAATAATTACATATTCGATTTGACCTATGGACGAATAGGCAAGCATATGTTTCATGCTTGTTTGCGTAATAGCAATGAGATTCCCTAATACCATGCTAAGAATAGCTAGGATTTCTAGAAGAAGATGCCATTGGTTTGATGAGAAGAAAAAATAAATATCCAAAATTCGAGTGGCTGAAGCTGAAGCAGCTACTTTCGAAGTAACAGAAAGAAAAGCAACGACTGGAGTGGGAGAGGCAGAGTCGAAAAGAGGATTCCTCACTTCTTTCTCTCATTCAAAACCGTGCATGAGACTTTCATCTCGTACGGCTCCTAAGTGATAAAAGAAAGAAGAAGATTGTTTCTTCTTTCTTTTAGTATTTCCTTCCTCGTGTATGTATAAGACCGAATCCATTGTATTTGGACTTTTCATCAAACAAAAAAGGATTCGTAATCCTGAACTTTTCGAGGAATCCTTCATCAGTGGTTGTGAATGAAGGATTTTTCTAAATCTTTATGAGTTGCTCCTACAGAACCTAGGTCGAAAAAAAAGATTGAGAAATAGAACCATCTGATTTAATTCGTTCTCAATAGCCACGAGATGATCATCTTAGGGTGATCCTTTTATTGACGGATGTTCCTATTATACTCGTAGTCTCTGAAGGATGAGAACCAACTATGTAGCATCTACATCGACAATTCAAGTATTGTATACGTCATTTAGTATGATTCTTTGTAGGAACTACCCCTAATAACCAACTTGCAAAAAGAATCTTTTTCTCATAAAGGGATTCGTTGTTCTTGACTCTGCTTCACCTTAATTGTTATTTTAACAAGTAAAGTTATGTCTTGGTCCGAGTGGGAATAACATATCTCTTCTGCATGTCCATAGAGTTTTGAAAAATCCAAACATCTCAGAAAGAAATAGAGAAGTAGGTCGGAATTTTTCGAACGAACCACACTCCTTCATATACGTCAGGAGTCCATTGATGAGAAGGGGCTGGGGAAAGCTTGAACCCAATTCCTACAGTGATGAATATAAGTGCAATTGAAATTCCCGGAAAGTTATACATTTGTGTATTGATAAGACTATTTACTATTTCTTGAAGCTCCATTTCTCCCCCGGATGAACCATATAGCCAAGAAAAACCATGAACCAGAATAGAAGAGCTTGCCCCACCCATGAGTAAATATTTCATAGTAGCCTCATTAGACCTTACATCTTTCTTGGTATATCCAGATAGTAGATAGGAGCATAAACTGAAACATTCTAGAGCTACAAAGATAGTTATTAAATCGTTAGTGCTGCATAAAAACATTCCTCCTAGAGTAGCGGTTAATATAAATAACAGAAACTCTGTTATAGCCATTTCTGTACATTCAATGTACTTTACGGATAGAGGAATACATAGAGTTGAAGATAGTAAAATAAGAAATTGAAAGATTTCGTTAAAATTGTTTGTTTGGAAATTTCCTAAAAAATGAATCATGGGTTCTTCTCTCCATCGGAACAACAACACCATTATGCTCATTACTAAACTTGTTGAAGAGAAAAAATAGAACCAAGATATCTCTTTTTGATCCGAAGTGGAATCGATCATCAGAAGAAGAATTAGGCCCAAAATTAGAATCAATTCCGGAAAAAGAAAACTTCCATCGAAAATAAGCAAATGAAAGGCTTTCATAAAAATTCTTGTAGACTCGAGAATGAGATTTTCATTCTGTACATGTCAAATCATGAATTAGTACATGGAATCTCCAAAAAAATACCCTTTGATGTATGGATCCTTAGGTCCATGTGTGTATATGGACCATAGATCCTGTTCATGGATTAACGAAAAGGTGCACGAGTTCTATTTGCTTCCGCCATTTTCTGAATCTCTTCCTTTTTGCGTATGGCATCACCACGCCCCTTGACAGCATCCACTAATTCGGAACTGAATTTGAAAGCCATATTTCGACCCGGACGTTTTCGGGATGCCGCTACTAACCAACGAATGGCAAGTGCTCTTCCTTGTGGCTTTTTTATTTCAATGGGAACTTGATGAGTCGATCCGCTCACGCGTCTCACTTTTACTACTATCTTGGGAGTTACCTGAAGTATTGCTTCACGTAAAACGGATAGTGGATTTTTTTCTGTCTTTTGTTGAATCCTTTTCATAGCTCGATAGAAAATTCGATAAGCCAATAATTTTTTTCCGTGTTTCATAATATTGTTAATCAACCTGTTAACTACTCGATTACGATAAATTGGATCGGATTTTTCGATTTTCCTTTCTGCAGTACCTCGTCGTGACATGAGCTTAATAATCCATTTTTTTATAACTTAACTTATGGGGCTAAAATAATAATTTATTTTGGCTTTTTGGCTCCATATTTTGAACGCCCTTGTTGACGATCCCTTACTCCGCCAGCATCTAGGGGTCCTCGAACAATGTGATATCTCACACCAGGTAAATCCTTAACCCTTCCCCCTCTTACTAAGACTACAAGATGTTCTTGTAAATTATGGGCAATACCAGGTATATAAGCAGTAATTACAAATCCTGAGGTTAAGCGTACTCTGGCAACTTTACGTAACGTAGAGTTTGGTTTTTTCGGGTTAATAGTGTCAAAGTTGACAGATAAGTCATCCTTACTGACACTCTACAGAACCGTACATGAGATTTTCACCGCATACGGCTCCTCGTTCAATTCTTTTGACGTAATTAGATCCTTTATCCTCGTTCGATAATCTCCACTTCTTCCCCCAAACCCAACAAAATAACAAGAACGAATGAAGTCAGCCACGTTTTCATGTTTGAATTGAACACTTTCGTTTTTTTATTCTCAAAGGAGAAAATTATTCTTTTTACTTTTACCAAACATATGTGGATCCAATTATGATCTTCTAATCAACTGTTTCAATCAATAGAAAACCTTTTTTTTTTGTATGAATCCATATTATTACATTCCAATTCCTTCCCAATATTTCCCAAAGAAAATACCGAATTGGATCTTAAATTGACGGGTTAGTGTGAGCTTATCCATGCGGTTATGCTCTCTTTGAATAGGAATCTATTTTGTCAAAAATCCCGGCTTTCGTGCTTTGGTGGGTCTTTGAGATCCTTTCGATGACCTATGTTGAAAAGATATCTATTATGATTAGAATATAGAATATATTCTAGAATAATATTTAATATATTCTAAATAGATGTTTACTCTTCCATAATAGTATTAATTAGTATAAAATTACTATTAAACAATACTCTTTGAATAGAGCTAATTCATAGTATTCCAGTCCAACATTTTTATTTGAAAACTTTTTGAGTTATCTATAAAAATAGATTCAGCTAATGAAAAGGCTTTCAATGCTGCCGTATATCCTTTTTTTTTCCAAAAATTCTTACGAATTTTTTTTTTTGATATAGAAGTGCGTTTTTTGGGAACTGGCATACAAGTAGTATAGTTTTTTCGTTGCTATAGTTTGATGTGAAATACATTTGTTCTGTAAATGAACACGAATTATTCTGCAATTAGCCGTATGTCTTATCTATCGGAATTCCCTCTTTCTTTTTTTTCCGATCAAAAGGTAAAGTAAAAACATTGAATATTATAAACCTTTTCCAAATTTTTCATAGATAATATTGATGATTCATGAATATATTACTTTAAATACTCTTTTTTTTCACTAGGAATTTTCTTATTGGCCGGTTTTCACTTTGTACTTTCCAATATTGGGACCAACCATTGTATTGTGCAAAGATTCAGAACAATTAAGAATATCCAATTCTATTTCTATATCCACTTTTTTATTAACCGAACCCCTTTACAAACAAAAGAGATAAAACAAACGAATAAGAAACAAAATTCATAAAGAATCTAAATATTTTTTATTCTTTTTTTTGTATGGAATATACACATCAATCTTCATGGATCATACCTTTCATCCCTCTTCCAATTCCTATTTTAATAGGGGTAGGACTTCTACTTTTTTCCACGGGAACACAAAATATTCGCCGTATGTGGGCTTTTCCTAGTATTTTATCGTTAACCATAGTTATGATTTTTTCGATCGATTTATCGATTCATCAAATCGAGAATCATTCTATCTATCAATATGTATGGTCTTGGACTATAAATAATGATCTTTCTTTAGAGTTTGGCTACTTGATCAATTCACTTAGTTCTATTATGTCAATATTAATAACTACTGTTGGTATTCTGGTTCTAATTTATAGTGATAGTTACATGTCTCATGATCAAGGCTATTTGAGATTTTTTACTTATATGAGTTTTTTTTAA